AAACACAGACTGAGAACACTGCTGATTTCTGGCATGTGCCGCTGGAATGGATGCCTTGCTGAGGTTCCCGCATTCTGCTGTGATTTCCATGTCTGCGTGTGTGTGCGTGCCTGCTGGTTTGCATGCCTGTCTGAGTGCTTGTCGGCTGAGTGTGTGTGTGACCTGCAAGGGTACTTGTTGGTTGAAAGGCCCCGCAGGGCCGGTACTGACCTGTGGCCGTGCCTTTGAGGGTTGCAGCGGGGAAAACACTCGAGTAGCGGGGGTAGGCCCGCGACACTTAGAACAGAGGGGAAAAACACTCAAGTAGCAGGTAGGCCGGTACCACTGAAGTAGTGGTAGAAGTGTCGGGTACTGGAGGCTGAGCAGAAGAAGACAAAAAGTTGGCATTTTTAGAGGCCCAGTAGCGGTAGGCTAGAGGTAGGCCGGTAGCAGTCTAAGAAGCCCAGGTCTAGGGCCTGTCCGGAGGATAGCAGAGCCTGCAATGATGTTTCCCTCCGAAAGGGAGGAGGTACCGGTTGCTGGGAGGCCGCTCGGCCTAGGAAGTCACCGCCCAAGAGGCCAGTAGGCCGCTATATCTTCGGGAGGAGCAAGTAGCTCCTCCTCATTTGCGGTATGCAAGGATTGGCGACATCTATCTTGGGCACCGGTTGTCTGCGAACGGCCTTGAGCCGGAGGCAACCAAGGTTGAGGTCATATGAAAGTGGCCTGAACCGGCAAACGTACGCGAACTGCGTTTTTTTCTTGGTTTGGCCTCGTATTATCGGAAGTTTGTACTCAACTTTCTGTCATTGCTCACCCACTCTCGAGACTAACAAGTAAGAATGTTGCCTATGCGTGGTGTGAGAAATTTGAGACTGCGTTCCAAGCTTTGAAAGAGGCTTTGGTAAGTCATCCTATGCTCCGCATTGCGGATCCCAACCCTACGGATGCGAGCCAGTATGGGATTGGTGCAGTGTTGCAACAAGATGATGGCGATGGCCTGCGTCCGCTCGAATATTACAGCAAACACATGCCCAGCCACAAGGTAGCTACCTCCACGTATATGCGTGAGCTCTACGCCTTGCGCGAGGCGCTCACACATTGGAAGCACTACCTCTTGGGTCGTCACTTCAAGGTCCACTCAGATCATCAGACCTTGCAGTGGATTAAAACACAAACCGATCTCCTTCGTAACTCCATATACCTGGATTTGTAATAGTCTCGCCAGTAATACTCCAGCCTCCCCATGATTTTGTAATTCCTAGACGAGTCATAAAAGGAATTACAAACATTCCTTGCCGCCACATAGGATCTAAAATAGGATCCAGGGAACTCGAGCTAAGGGACTGCAGGTTCAAAGGATGGGAGCCGAGGCGAGTCGAAGTGGGAGTAGAAATGTCCATACCGACGATAATGAATGGAGAGGGACCACGTGTGACTGGGGTGGGTTTGAGATTGTGCCGGAATTGTCGTACCTATGGGTAGAACGCATTTGGAACCCGCTAAGAGAAGAGGAAGGATGGGAGGAGATTGCGGAAGGTAGGGTAGAATCGGTTGGGACAGTCATCCTCTCCGAGCAGGGTTGGCACTTGTTTTGCACGACGCTCGCGGCAGGGCATCGTGAGCGAGATTCGACACCCGGTGGTGGATTGGGTCGGGGTCGAGCTCATGGAGAATACGGTTTACCTGGTGACCAAGGTTGAGTGGCGGGCGGATGAGAACGGCGAGTGGGATCTGGACCCGTGGGGGCATGTGCGTGCGGAGGGGCGGTTGTATGTGTCGGAGGATGGATAGCGCGCATTCGGAGTCCTACTAGCATCTGGGGAGGATCCGGTAAGCATGTTCGAGGGAGGATGGCAGCTAGTGTGGCAGGCGGGGTTCGAGTTCGCCGACCCGGAGTTCGATGACGTAACGACAAACCTTAGGGTAGCCATGACCGCGAGATTCAACTTGCCCAGTGAGAACATTCGGATGAGGTTGCCGCCCTTCCTACTAGAACAGATAGGCGGGCTTGAGCTTGTCAGGCGGGCAGTGGCCGACCTCGCCAACCTGATGTTTGAGGAAGCAATGGTCCACCGGGAATACTACCGGGCCTTCCTGGAAATGGGGCCATTCGACGGTGAACAGAGGTACGAGGTACTGCGAGTTTTGCGCGTTGTGCTTACCACTAGGCCTAGAGTTCTGGCTATTCGCGACGAAGTCCTATGGGGCGTCGTCCGAAGGGAAATAAATCGGGGGCTGAGTTATGTAGACGATTTGTATCGCCTGTACGAGCTGCCAGAAGCGGAGGCGGGCCAAAAAAAGGGGAAGGAAAGGAAAAGGGAATAAGGAAGAAAAGGGAAGGGGAGTTAAGGGTCAGGGAATCGCCCAGGTGGTGGTCGAAAGAATGGATGAGAATAAGCAAAGCTCGCTTGCTGTTTAAACTGTGCAAGGGACCGCTAATCAACGATGGCAATGAGACGCGCCCGGATGTCGCGACAAACCAAGCACCCTCGACCGCCCATGGAAAATGGAAACGGATGGGAGGTGTCACTCCCAGCAAGCTACATAGTCCGAGGGATAGACACGGAATGGAGAGCCGTGACCTTGGGAAGGGACCAGGCGTTCATGATGGTAGAATGTTTGTGGAGCGGGATGAGGTTCAATAGGGGGCCAAGGGACGATCTATATGCTGAGTTGAGGGTGACAGGGACCGTATACCTATCGGAGATTGGATGGCACATGCTAGGAACTGAGATGGCACTAGGACATGGGTTGCTGCCAATATTCCGAAGGGATGCCAGGATAGTGAACCGGATAGGCCAGGAGATTCGAGGGAGAAGGAATGTAGGATTGAGAACTCGGGTGGAGGTAGGAGGTTGGCGAGAGTTCAGGGCCCCGATGACAGGATTGCGGTGCCGAGTCCCTCGCTTCATGGTAGACCTGGTATTCGGTAGCCTCTCGAGGGCAAGAGACTTGGTGGACTCGACCTTGGTCTAAATCCACCATTCCAGCCACAAACGACGGGGATGTTCTACGATGTGTCAGTTAGGCACGGGCCGTTTTGGGGAAATTAGGCCCGTGAACTACTCGAACTCATCGAAATCTTGATATTCGGGTTACCACGGTTGGCGTTTGAGGAGTATGAACCAATAATTATCAGAGAAATAGAAATGGGAGAAAACTACCTTGCGGGGGTGGCTAACCTGTTCGACCTGATGAACAGGACAGGCATGAGAAAGTACTGGGAAAAGGCAGCGAAAAGTAAAAGCAGGAAGTCAAAAGGAGGGATTAACCATCTACGGAGGATAGTGGTCGGAGTCCTGTTCTGCCTGGGAACACGGTTGGAAGGGACCGGGAAGGCCACATCCATTAAGGAACGCTGGGGGTATCCGGGAGTTGGGAAGGCAAACGAGCCATCTCCGAGTAGCAAGTCGCCAACCCGGGATACCACCTTAAAACCGAGGCACGACAGCGACAAAATGCCGAACTTCGGCAGCGGACCTTTCGGCAGAGGAAAGGTAAGCTGCGCCCTGCAGAGTAAGAGAATGTCAGATAAGCCGTCACGACAGATATGAGACGGGAGAATATGGGAATAAGCGAAAATAAGGGCCTTAGGACCTGGGGACTACGGAAGATGTGAATAATCGGTCGTTTCGCGGATTTTTTTTTCTTCCATGTGCAGGGTTAAGAAACCATGGCGTCGGAAGAGTAGGCGGGGAATTTACGAAGCAAAGGAAGTCAGGGCATAGAGAGGGGCGTGGAACGGAACGAAGGGTCAATAAGGGCGGAGAATCAGCGAATCCGGAGGGGACCAAGGAAGACGAGAAGGATCTCTCGACGGGAGAAAGTTCGGGAAAGGCCGGGGGAAGTAAACGAGGATCTCACGAGAATAAGGAAGGGAGGGACAAGGAAAGGTCAAGTCCGCGAAACTCAGATGGGATCATAGTCAAGAAAGCGAAAGTCTCGGATGCCCGGCGTAAGCTAGCAAAAATAGAGAAAAGAACCGCGGAGTATAAGGCGAGACTTATTGAAGAAATGATGGTTGGGAACGAAAGAGACTTTCCGGGAGGAGCTACGAGAGGAGCGCAGGACTAGCCAGGGCGGAATGGGACATGGAGGGAAGGATAGTAGCCACAGGGGGACGCCTTGCAGTGGTGCTAGGCGCTTGCCTGCCGCGCCAAAAGTAATGAAGGGGTGCGACGGACTTTGGGGTCTCAGGGAAAGGTACTAGGATGGTTTGATCCGGAGGGAACAACAACAATCGGAGAAAAGTGGAAGGATAGCAAGGAAGGAGAGGGGAATAGTATGGCTGGTGAAACCGGTAGTTCCGAGGGCGGGCTCAAGAAAATAGTATTCACCCTCACGCGGGCATTGAACAAAAATCAGGGCTACCTCGCGGATGCCAAGAAGAAGCTCACCTTTGATGGGGCGAATATCACCGAATTCCTAATAGACTACGAGAATCTGGCAGCCCTGATGAAATGGAGCGAGGAAGAAAAGATGGACCACATAGGGCAGCACGTGTCGCTAAGCTTGGGAAGGGACATTACGGCCATCGTCGCCGCCAGTGGATCCTGGAAAGAGACCCGAAATGAAATGATGAGGAAGTATCTAAAGGCGGAGAAAATGGCAACGGAAGCAGAATTGGCAGCCGTACAGAGGAGGAACTATGCGACCTACAACGACTTTCTGAGACCATTCACCCTAGTGGCGTTACGGATTCTGGGGGTAACAGACCGAATCATGAGCAAGTATTTCCTTAGACAGTTCTTCGAGTTTAATAAAGATAAAATCCTGTCGGCCTACCAACAGACTAGTAAGTTTGAGTACATGAGGGACGTGGACTTCAGCACCGTAACAGATCTCGCAGAAAAGACGGTAGTAACCGATACGCTAGCCCTGCTCAAGGAAGGGGAAGTTATAGACTTGATCGGGAAAATGGGGGACAAGGTGAAGAAGGGGATAGAAAGCTTGCATGAACGAGTGCACGGGGTTGACAATAAGATAGAGAGAGTGGAAAACGCGCTACTGGTAATGCAGGCGCAGGTGTCCCGACCCGCCCTCCCGCCCCAAGAAGCCATAGTCCCAGCAGCAGTGGCAAATCGGGGATACGACAGGAAGGACCCGACCAATGAGCAATGCATATATTGCACGATGGTCGAACACTTCGTACGAACCTGCCCGAGACTCAACCACGATATTATGAGGCAGAGGTGTTAGGTCCCTTAAAGGTGAAATTTTCGGACCCCAGGGGGAGCGAATAAACTGGAATTCGCCAGGAGGAATGCAGCGTGCCGTCATTGTCCTGAACAACCTGGATATAGCCGTCGTAGAAGCTGAGCCGGTAGCTGACATTGTTTGGGACCAGCCGAGGGGGCGCGGAGCACAAGTCAATTTTTCATCTTAGAAGGTAATGGAGAGGATAGGGTGAACATCACCACTCGGCGCGCAGGGGCGGAAAAGAAGCTTATTCGAGATACGGTAATGGAAGAGGTTGCAGGAACTAGCGTAGATCAAGGTGAACCCGAGACCGGGGAGCCAGAGAAAGTCTACGGGAAGACAAGGGAGGAAGAACCGATAGACAAGGCCACAACAACAAAGAAGAAGTTCAGGTACCAAATTTCGATCTTGACCATGCGAGAAATCGACGATACCCTGAGCAAATTACTAGGTACCATGGTATCCGTATCCTTTCAGACCATGCTGCAAGCAAGCCCGTGATTGCTTAATGGACTCAGGCAACTGCTAACGCGCAGACGCGTAGAAGTAGAAGAGGCGCTGGAACCGCAGGAACAGGAAACGGAGGAGGCAGAGGCGCCGCAAGGGGTCCCTAACCTCTAGAGGATTCCAGGAGACTTGGAAGACCTGGAAAAGGCCTTTGCGGACATCCGCCTAAGCCTACCTGACCGAGAAGGCGGCGAGGTCATGAGAGCGCCTCCCGGAACGAAGCTCAGCTTCCATGCACTGCCCGTAGGAAAGCTGAAAGTCCAGATCGGGACGCATCACACAGACGCATTAGTGGACGGAGGTGCGGGAATTACCCTTATACGACAAGACTTCGCAACAATCACGGGTTGTACGGTAAACAAGGAAGTGACAGGGAGTATCCGGAAAGCCGGCGGGGAAATTCCCTTTGCAGGGTATGCCACGAAATGCGCAGTTAGAGCAGGAATCAGAGAGTCGATCTGGTTATTTCAACGGATGACCGTGATGGAAGAAATGGACCATGACATAATCCTCGGGAGACCATGGTGCGCCAATGTAGAAATGATAGGTATGCACCTGCACGATGGCACGTACATGGTAGATATAGAAGACCCAGTGACCGGTCGGGGAAAGCTCCTCCGACTCCTTGGGACCGGAGGGGACCCTCCGAAAGGGAAGTTGGCAACCTGGTCACCAACGTTCGAGGATAGTGCGCGGAAAGGAGCATTCGCCCGGATGGAAGGTCTGAGAGAAAGAGTGGAAATCATGATTGAGGAGGCTTTTAGCAAAAAGGAATGGATCAAGATGGGTCTGCCTCTAAAGAAAAGAAGGCAAGAAGACGAGGTCCTAGGGGTCATGGTGGCAGAAAAGGAGCCGGAAGTCGAACTCGGGGCCAGCCTGCCTAAACCGAAGGAGTGTCGGGAGGAAACGCCGTTCCGAACCTGTTGCATCTTATTACGACTATCAAGTACCACAAAGTAGGGGTGAACCCGGCAGCGCTTGCCAAATTCGAGGATGAGGTCCGAAAGGGCTACTGTCTGAACGGAAAGATAGTCAGTATCCAGCCCCGCGTCACAGAGGTACCAAGGCCGACCCCGACTGTTCATTTTTTAGAAGAACGATCCCAGAAGGAAGTGTCCGGAAGTACAAGCCGGTATGGAAGAAAGCCAAGCCGGTCTCGATCCTAGTAGAAACATCAAAGGAGGAGGCCATGGAGGAGGAGGAAGAAATCTTGCAAATAATAAGGGAGAGGCGAGCGGCGGAAGGGCATCGGATACCTGATGAGGTAGGGATAGATGGGTTCCTAACGATGGAAGAGACCCAGCTGATAAGGAAAGCGTGCCAGGAGTTTCATTTAGCATTCGCGTTCAATGACCATCAGAAAGGTCGATTGGATGCAAAATTAATTTCCCCCGTTAGGATCCACACAGTGGAACATGAGTGTTGGAACGACAAAGGCCTGCTTACGAGTTTGGAATAGTAGCAGAGGTCACCGAACTGCTCAGAGCCAAGATAGATTTGTTCGTGGCCGAACCCACCGCACCTCCCTACGCGAACAAGTGGTTTGTCTTTCGGAAGCCCAACAAGACGCTCAGATGGATTCAGGATTTGCAAAAGTTGAATGTGGTATGCGGGATCGCTCCCACAGGCCGATCTGCTGGCAGAATCTCACGCTGGCCGGAGCATTTATTCCTTGATAGATTTGTATTCAGGGTATGACCAACTGCCGCTCGACGCCAGGGATAGGCCGTACACCGCCATGCACACCCCTGTAGGGCAGCTGCAGATGCAAGTAACCCCTATGGGCTTTACAAACGATGTGGCGGAAGCGTAGAGGAGGATGCTTGCGGTTGTCGGGGACATGTTCCCGGAAAAATGTGAGCGGTATATAGACGACAATCCCATAAAAGGCGCGCAGAACAAAGATGAGACGGAGGTCCGTCCGAGCATACGGAAGTTTGTCTGGGATTACCTTACAGGATATCAAGGGCCTACTTCAGTGGTTCGTGGTATATAATATTACCGCAAGCGGACCAAAGAGCATCTTGGCGGTCCCAGAAGTAACCATACCGCATACTGGGATTTCGCTGTGGGGCGTACGTGAGGAAGCCTGACCCGGCAAAGACGGATAAGATCTCTCAATGGCCAACACCCTTGCGCACCACAACGGAAGTATGAGCCTTCCTAGGGGTGGTTGGATTCTGGAGGATCTTTATCAAAGGTTTTGCCAAAATAGCCGAGCCCATCCGTGCGATGATAACGGAGGGAGGAACTATGGAATGGACCGAGGACAGGGAAGCAGCAGTTCAGACTCTCAAAGACATCCTGTCCTCCGATCAAGTCACCTTGGCAGCACCGTGCTTCAACGACGAGGTGGGGCGGCCCTTTATTCTGGAAACAGATGGAGGACCATTGGCGGTAGGAGGAGTCCTGATACAAAGAAGCGAGGAGGGCAGAGAAAAGCCTATCAGATTCAAGAGTAGGACCCTGAATTCTGCAGAACGGCGATACTCCCAGTTCAAGAAAGAGGTCTTAGCCATTCTACATTGCCTTAAGACCTTTCAGGCATACCTATTCGGAAGACGGTTTACCCTAAGAATCGATCCGACCAATGTCGTCGGGGCATTAAAGAATTATAAGCCTATAGACCCGACCGTTGGGAGATGGATAGGTTTTATCTGGTAGTTCGACTACAAGGTCGAGCGAATTGCGGGACTCCAGAACAGGGTTGACGGGCTAAGTCGGGTTTGCATCACACCACAAGGAATAGAGGATGCGGAACCAATTGACACCTTCCTAGAATACGAAGGAGGAACCCTCGTTGCAGATAATGAGATGATGAGCCTCGCTTGCACATCAGGACAGTTGTTGATTCAGACCCTTGAAAAGGGGGCGTCTGTTGCAGTTGCGGAACTTAGGGAAGGGCCAGTCACTACGATTAGACGAAAATATGAGGATTCGTGGGGGGCAACAGTGGGACCAAAAGAGGAGTTGATGGCGATGGCCGTTGAAGGAGGTCAGGATGCCGTGATGTGCCTTGTAGAGTCCTGGACACAAAAGATACGGCAGTATTTAGTAAGTCAGGCTCAGGAAAAGCGAGATACGGATCAGAAGGGACAATAATTTTTCCACATACAAATGTATGAAGGCATCTTTCGAAGGATCGGCCTGTTACTTATAGGAAATAAGCAACCTATGGAAGTCAGTCCCAAGGCAAGGGAGGAAGCTGAAAAGTATGTCCTGAGGAAGAAGGAATAACCCCTAGGCGAGTTGTGAGCGGGAGGGCTAGGCAGTTGGACGTAATTCAGGCAGTGCATGATGGACTAGCCGGAGGGCAT